GGTTTGATACAAGCAGATATTCAAATAAGTTGATTCTGCATCGGACATGAAACCTGTTGCTATTATGTTGCTCACAGTCTTTTAAATAAGAAACCAATACCTAGAAAGTCTCCCACTTGAGTGGCAGGGACTCAACTACTTGGGCCATCACCCGCTTCCTCCTAAGGTACACACTAACAGAAAGCTGGCTTTGAAAGTGGAACCAGGGCTTGAGCCCAAGCACTCTGATATAAGAGGTAGGTCTCCCAAGCAATATCTCTACCAATGTGCCAGTCACCCACCCCTACCTGTGGTGGACACGCCAAGAGGACCCAGGCAAGTGAATGAGCCAGGCGCTCAGCTACACAGGAAATGGCGGCGGGACCCACTTGATAAAGGAGTCTGCCTAGCAACAGGCAGTAATTGGTTACAGCATAGACCTCCCCTTGACCAGATTGGCTGCCTCACCTATATAAGCACACGTACGTCCTGAAATAAACGAGTTTGCGAGCTGCTGCCCTCTAGCCTGCTTTCAGCTGACTCCCTGTGTCTGTGTCGTGACTCTGCGCCGTCTTACCCCCAGCCACCATGGGAGAATCCAAACGAGACTACACCTACCTAAATTTAATACTTAAAATATGATATTTACCTAGATGGGTTCCATTGATCTATGTGACCTGTTTTTGTTTGTTTTGTATTTAATCGTACTCTGATGGTTTTGAAGATTTGGGGACTATTCACCTAGACTTCTGCTAGGTGTTACTCAGCTCCCTTATCTTTCTGCACAGTGACTCTTCCATATTTCCAACACCATCCCTAAACCAACACTATATTCTGCCACCCTCAAAAAATGATCCTGAATCTGTATATCTGTATATCATTCTCAGGGCTGCCACAGTATAAACTGGGTGGCCTTAACCAACACGAAGCTGTTTTCTTACAGTTCTAGATGCTGAAAGTCTGAGACCAAAATGCCAGCAGGACTCGGATTTCGGTGAGACTCTGGGTGGTACTCTTTGATGTCTCTTCCTACCTTCTGGTGACAGCCATCAATCATGGCATCCCTTCGCTTGCAACTCCAATCTCTGCCTCTGGCATTGCATGGACTTTTCCTCTTATTAGGACACCAGTCACACTGGATAAGTGGGACCTAAAACAGTTACATCTACAAAGACCTTATTTCCAAGTAAGGGCATTCAGACTTTAACACATCCTTTTGGGGAACATAATTCAATGCATAATAGCTGCCGAGTTCTAAGGAAAAAAAAAAAAACTGACCTCAATCATCAGTTGCTTTCGAATATCTCCATATTCCCACAATTATTCACTATGACTCCAGACCTCACACCCTCCCCTGCAGTATCAGAAGACCTTGCCTTCTGTCCACAGCAGAACCTCCTGCCTAATCTCGAGTTCCCCTCCTCTCCCTCCTCCACCAATCATCCCCTCCCTTGATCTCTGGCTAAGAACTTCACTTGTCTTTTTAAATTCTTTTGCTTTACTTAGTAAATATATCCAACTCTTCCCCATCTTAAAAAAAAAAAAAAAAAAAAGGAAAAGGAAAAAAGGAGCCTCTATTTTGAATCTATTTGCTCTCCTGAGTCTACATCAGCTTTTACTAAACTGTCCTCCTTCTCTTTGGGATCCAAATTTATGGAACATTTATGGAACCAACACTTGTGAAGTTCCCCATATCTGCATCCCTACCACAGGTGTTCATTCCACAAGGAATTGCTGGGGGTCGGGGACAAAAAGGCACTGTCTGCCCCAGGTTCAACAGCCACAGCAGTGAGCCAGCCAGCCAGAGTTCCTGATTTCAAGAGAAGAAAACAGATGCTAGCTAATACTTTCACTTCTCAGAGCTGCGAGAGTACAAGAAAAGGAGCGCAGGTTGGTCTGAGAAATTGGAGATTTCCCCTAAGAAGAAGCATCAACTGATATGGGACAAATTCAGAAGAATTAGCAACGTGGAGAGGAAGAGGAGGAAAGAAAGGTCATGGGATTCATGGGTCAGAAACCCTTGAAGTAGAAATGTGGTGTTTTCAAGACGCTGGAAGAGGGCTGGTGTGACTTTACTGTAGCCACTCAGGGGGAAATAATACAAAATGATGTCAGTGGGACACACAGGGGTTTGTGGCCATGTTGAGGATTTTCACTTTATTTTCAGGGCAATGGGAGAAGGGCTTAGCAGAGAGGAGACCTGATCACATTTACGTTTAGAAGGACCACTCTGGCTATAAGTCAAGAAAAACCGGGGAAAAGAACACAATGGGAACGAACATCAGAGTCATGATTCCAGGGACTCGGCCTGCACTGCAGTGATGACAGTGGAAACAGAGCCCTGTGCATGTTGAAGACACATTAAGGAACTAGAATCAGTGTGACTTAGTGACTAGATGGCTATCTGGGTGAGAGATAGACACGTTCATCCTGATTCTCGGGTTTCTGGCTTGATAGCTACAAACATGGTGTCCTTCCTGGGTGAGGAAACGCTGGTTCTCCTGGTGGAACATCAGAGTCAGGAATGTGATGGTTTAAACGAGAAAACATTGACTGGCAGGTACTCACGAGGCTAAGCGGAAATGGTATGCAGGCAATCCTCAATATTAGTGATATCATCGGTACTGCTAATAACCAGGCAATTGGCAAACAGGGTCAATCATTTCAGTATTTGGCTCATTTGCATTCCCTAGCATTTGGCACTGTTTGTCATTCTTAGCTTGAGGAAAGAAGTCTGCATCTTTGATTTCTAATTAAAATACTGTCTTTCTCTGGTCTCCTTGTCTCTAACTTGTCTTCATCAGCCTAACCTTAAAAGGTTTGAGTCTCAGATAGGATTTTTTTTTTTTTTTTGACAGGCGGAGTGGACAGTGAGAGAGAGAGACTGAGAGAAAGGTCTTCCTTTTGCTGTTGGTTCACCCTCCAATGGCCACCGCGGCCGGTGCGCTGCAGCCAGCGTACCGCGCTGATCCGATGGCAGGAGCCAGGTGCTTCTCCTGGTCTCCCATGGGGTGCAGGGCCCAAGTACCTGGGCCATCCTCCACTGCACTCCCGGGCCACAGCAGAGAGCTGGCCTGGAAGAGGGGCAACCGGGACAGAATCCGGCGCCCTGACCGGGACTAGAACCCGGTGTGCCGGCGCCGCTAGGTGGAGGATTAGCCTAGTGAGCCGCGGCGCCGGCTACAGATAGGATCTTAAATGAAGAAATATCCAGTCTCCAAGTCCAACATCTTTAAAACATACCTATACATTTCCTCTATCTATGTTTTTCTCAAGTAGATCAGATCTGATAAGCCCAACCCAAATCAATGTCCACCCCTCCAATCTCACCAATCATTCTATCTCCCAAATATCCCTCTCCCTTTTATAACATCACATATGAAGGAGGAGGAGGGGTCATCAGGCCCTCCACCACCACTAAAATTCAATCCATTTCTAAATCCTTATAATTATACTTTGGGATCACCTCTCCCTACTCCTTCTCCCCAGATCCAACAACTCTCACGCAGGACTGTATAGCAAGCATGTTAGGCTTCGAGAGGTCTCCTGTCCCTGCAACAACTATTCAGCTCCACCGTTGTGGTACAAAAACAGCAACAAGTAGTACATCGATGCTAAGGCATGGCTGTGAGCCAATAAACTTCATATATGGACCCTGGAGATTGAATTGCACGTACTTTCCACGCGCTAGGAAATGGCTTATTCTTTTTGACTCCCTACTGAAAAATGGAAAAGCATTCTTAGCTTAGACCATACCAAAGCAGATAGCAGGCAGTGGTTGGCCCACAGGTCACAAGTCACAGACCCCTGGTCTGACTGCACTGTCTCCCTCTGTATGGTAGCCAGAGAGAAAATTTGAATGGAGGTAACTCCTCTGTTGTGCACCTCTTTGGGCTCCATAGCCAGTACATGTATGAAACTGAAGCTCAAGTGTTGGCCACCAGGTGGCCCCAAACTTATTTTCTAAATTCATTTCCCACAGCCATTCTCCGGGAACACAAGGTTCCCATGCCCCACCCTCCCACCCACCCCTCCCTGAGACTACACTCCCTGCTGGTCCCTGAGCATCTTGAGTTCTCCTGTCTGTCTTTCACACTGACTCCATGCTAACTCACATTAAGCCCAGGCTAATTTGGGCATGCAAATTCAATGCTTTCGGTAGTTCATGATAGCCCCAGAAAGCAGTCGAAGTAGGTGAAAGTTATTTATTCTCTACAAACTGGCTATTTAGTTCTAAGGAAAGTAAGTTTTATACCAATTTTTTTTTCTGCAACAGACATCTATTAGCAAGCAAACATAAAAGAATGAAGCAATATACTTCACCTGAACTTCAGCTTTTTGTCCACAGGGCCTGACTTGCAGGATCCCCTGAGGCAGATGAGACACCATCCTAGAGGCAGCAGTCAGCCGACCTCAGACTCAGATTCCAGCCATCAAGAGTCAGAGAAGAGGACACACATGGGGTAGACGCTGCCTGGGACACCGGCATCCCACAGCAGAGTGCCTGGGTTCAAGGTCTGACCGAGCTCCTGACTCCAGCTTCCTGCTAAGGTGCACCCTGGAGGGCAACACGTAAAGAGTCAAGTTCTTGGGGGCCCTGCTGCCCACATGGGAGACCCAGACTGAGTTCTTTGGCCTGACCCAGCTGGGCCATTCAGAGCATCTGGGGAGTGGACCGACGGATAGGATTCTCCCTCTCTCTCGCTCTCGCTCTCTCTCGCTCGCTCTCCTATACAATTAATTAATTGAAATGTACAAACAAAAAATAGAAAAGGAACTTTTCTCTGGGCCTACGACACTCTCCTAGTTGTCCTTTTGAAGTCTTTCCAGGCCCTTTTCTGCTTTCATTTTTTTATTTAATTTTTCTTTTTTTCTTTTTCTCTTTTTTAAAGTTATTTATTATTTTAATGAATTCCCAACAATGTGTAAGCACTACATGTGATGATATCATTTTAACCATTTGATACTTGAGGAAGCTAAAGCTCAGAGAGATTGAGTGCTTAGCTTAGGTTAGGTGACAGAGCCAGGATTCAAACCGCGGATGGTCCTACAGTGTACTCTTGGTGAACTTGAGGGCACATGCAGAACAACAACAAACACTTGACAAATTCAATGTGAATCCCACCTTAAGAATCTGTGCCACCTTTGTATGACTATTTGCTGGAAGATGATTGAACTGAAATAAAAAAATAGAGAGTTATAATAAATAAAAGTAGATGATATACCTTGATTAAAGCTATATGATTTAATTGTGCAGGTTTAAGATGAAACTAGCAATCTTTTAAGCCTTTTAAATTTACTCTATAGCAACACTTAATGAAACCCTTCCCTTGCAACAATCCAGATGCCTTAGTCTCCCACTGCCTAAAATAAAAGCATTGATGACTTACGTCAAGCAAGCTGACATATAATGAGCACTCAATAAATATTTATTGAACAAAGAAGCAGCATTAACTTACCATTAATTTCAGAGTCTGGCTCAATTCCAGGCTACCAGATATAAGTCCTACCCAAAGCTCTCATAGAAACTATTTATTGGTATTTATCTTATCATATGGCTAAAGTAACGTGATGATCCCCTCATAGCACTCTCTCAGCCAACTGTTACTGAACCTGCATAGGCCCGAGGGTCAATGCAATTGTCCCAAACAAGGCATCTTGAGGAGCAGAGATCTCAGGCTCCTTAAGAACCTCCATCCATGCCCAGTGTAAGATGCAGATGTTCCAAAATCTCTATTTAGTTGCCTGGAAGAGGTGAATCAGGAAACTTTTACAATCAGAATTTCCAGCTAGTGCAGCAAAGCATAGTCCAAGTTCAAGTGCGGCAAAAGGATCAGGGCATCAGCACTTAAGGCAGCTCACAGAGAAGCTCAAGGACAGAGCAACCCAACAAAAGACTCCAGAGCTCCTTACACAGCGACCTAATTTAGAGTATGGGATTAGCCTCATAAAAGGATCATTAAGGGAGCATGTGATCAAGGCAAAATAAAAACCCAGACTGCAGAGGTGATGGGAGAACTTCTTGACCCTGCTGATAACAGCAAGGATTTCGTTGTTGGCCGCATGTGCTGTGGATGACACTGGTTTTGATTAGTAAGCAATTGAGAACTCAATGCCTCTCATATTTTGAGCCTTAGCACTGCTCTAAGTCTGTTGGGAGCATCTGTAATAAGAAACAGGCTTGTGCTCATCACAATGTTCCATCTCTGACTCAGAAACCAATAACAGCTGAGATTATAGACAATGCCCTTGTACCAGAAGCCTGTGCCACACAGGGACTTTGTAGAATAGGAGACAAAATGAGTAGGGGAAGGAAAAAAAATATGTTATAAACTAAATAATCCCAGAAACTTGGAAGGTTTTCTTTTTGGAGAAAGAACAGCACGGGTTTTACGTGTTCTGTCTTGAGTAGTGTGATGACCAAGATCGTTTTCCCAGTTGCCTAAGAAGCACATTTCATTTCATCACTTTATTAAAATGACAACTTCTACTGATACTCATGGGCTTATCACACACAACGCTGGAATTCTTAGAATTCTTGAAACTAATCATCTTATTTTTTAAAAAAAATATAAAAATATTTCAAGTACAATGGAAATGTCTGGTATCTGACTCGAAAAGCTCCTTGAGGAAAATCTGGTCGCTTTGGTGGCACTGTTGCGGGGCAGCAGTTGGACAGCTACACAGGTGAAGTTTTGCAAAGAGTCAGAATTGCCCGGGGAGTAGCACTCAGTAGGAACACACTCAACCACCTACGTGCCTTAGGCAGTTTCAGTCTCGGCCTGTGTGACTTGGGCTGGAACACAGAGCCCTGCAGGCTTGTGAAACCAGATTGGAAACACAGGCTCCTGTGCTAAGGATCTTACCTTGTGCACGAGCCCTAACTGTTCTGCACCTCCATCTCCAGCTATCGCTAGAAAAGCAGGGACAGTAATAGCACCACAATTTACTGCTGTTGTGGGAAGGAAATTAACTAATCCCTACGAACTATGTGGAGGAGTTCCTGGCTCAGAATAAGTGTGCCTTTCTTTTTTTCATATTTTTTCTGACTTTCAAGTAACAAATAGGGGAATGGTTCACCAAAAATCATTTCATTGGGTCTCTCTGGTATTGAGAGAAATTGCTTTTAAGCTTCTCATTCTTAGGCAATCTGCTAACAACTTCATGTCTTTTAGGATGTTCTCAAAACTGGAAAACACAAGATAATAATGCAGTTCTATAAAACAAAACAGTGATGCCCTTACCAGTTTGATGACTCCATTTGCGAAATTTGAATCTTTCGAGAATGATTGACGGAGTTGTAAGATCTATGCCTCTGATCATCTCCAAGGTGAGGCCTACAGTTCTGTTCTACATATTTTAGCTAAAGCAGCAATGATGGATCTTATTATGCCTTAAATTTGTACACACAGTGTGCCAGTGGCACAGTATAATTCTGTCCTTGGCTCTCCATTTGGCTTATTTCAAGAAAAATGTGAAAGCTTCTAGGTTATCATAGGAGTTAAACTGATCAGCCCCCAAATTCATAATATGTTCCCAGGATAGTCCTTTACATAGGTAAGTAATGCATATTCATTATGAAAATTTTAAAATAGTTCCCATATTAAAAGGAAAATAAAATTGTCTCAATTGGACCATGCAAATTTGTTTAATATTAATGGTTCATTTATTTATTTATTTATTTATTAAAAAGGGGCTGGGGGGAGGTAGATAGCCAGCCAGACAGGCAAGCAGAGAGTGAGAAGTCCCATCTACTGGCTGAGTCCCCAAATGCCTGCAACAGCTAGGGCTGTGTCAGGCCAAAGTCAGAGGCCAGGAATTCAATCCAGGTTTATCAGTAGGTGGCAGGGACCCAACGACTTGAGCTATCACTGCTGCCTATTGTGGTGTGCATTGGCAGGAAGCTGGAATCAGGAGCTGGAGCTGGATATCAAACCAAAGTACTCCAACATGGGATATGGGCATTTTAACTCTTGTCTTAACTTCTAGGCTAAATGCCCATAGTTTATGTGTGTGAATGTAATTCCAGTCTTCATACTCTCATGTATATATATATACATACACATGCGTGAACAGACACATGAATAATATTTGAATTACATATGGCACACTGTTTCATCATGTAGTCTTTTCACGTAATCTATGTTGACTCTTTCCCTACTCAGAGTGGTCATGATAAGCAGATCGATCTTCAGGGCATGCATTGGGTGGACATCCTGGCAACCCAGCCACAGATTGTGGGTCTCTCCTCTCAAGGGACTTGAGAAAATGGGCAAAGTAAGGCAGGACCCTGTGTCAGGTAAGCAGAGAGATGCAGGTCAGAACTGCAAGATCAAAAGTGAATTGGATATCCCGAAATAAGACAGGACCCAGGAACTGAAGGTAGAATACAACATGGAGACTTAGCAAATCAGAACAAAAACAAGCAAAAGAGAATTCAGTTATTAGACTTGGGACCAGTGATAAGAGAGCCTGATATTTAGGCCAGCGCTGTGGCTCACTTGGCTAATCCTTCACCTGCGGCGCTGGCACCCCAGGTTCTAGTCCCGGTTGGGGCGCTGGATTCTGTCCCCATTGCCCCTCTTCCAGTCCAGCTCTCTGCTGTGGCCCGGGAAGGCAGTGGAGGATGGCCCAAGTCCTTGGGCCCTGCACCCGCATGGGAGACCAGAAGGAAGCACCTAGTTCCTGGTTTTGGATCGGCGCAATGCGCCAGCCACAACATGACGGCCATGGCGGCCATTTGGGGGGTGAACCAACGGAAAAGGAAGACCTTTCTCTCTGTCTCTCTCTCTCTCTCTCTCTCTCTCACTGTCTAACTCTGCCTGTCAAAAAAAAAAAAAAAAAAAAGAGAGAGAGAGAGAGAGCCTGATGTTTAGAATGGCAGCTGCTATTGCAGTAGTGGTCAAGGAAGGTCAGACTGACGGGTGTGGGTTTTGAGACCCAATTCCACACCCTGTGACTGGATTCATGCAGAATCTTCCTGACTTCTAGATTCAAGTTCTGGAGGTGAGAACTTGAAACCAAAATTTCAGTAGTCGGGGCAGGCATTGTGGCGCAGAGGGTTAAGCTGCTGTTTGGAATACTTGCATCCCATATCAAGAGTGCTTTTTCGAGTTCCAGCTACTCCACTTCTGAACCTGCTTCCTACTAAATGCATCCTTGGAGGCAGCAGATGATGGCCCAAGTGCTTGGGCCTCTGCCACACACATGAGAGACCCAGATGGAATTCCAGGCTCCTGGACTTGGCCTGGCCCAGCCCTGGCTGTTACAGGCAATTGGAGGAGTGCATTAGCAGATGGGAGACAGTCTCTCTCTCTCTCTCTCTCTCTCTCTCTCTCTCTCCCTCTCTTTCTCTCTGCCTTTCAAGTAGATGAAAATAAACAAAAATAAAAACATTCAGTAGTACCCCAAACTTCCACTCTTCTAGCCTCTCCCAAAATTCCACAAGCACTTAATTTCTTGAATTATATTCTTTCCTGGGGGCACTTCTGGTTCCCACACTGACTTGTAAAGGACTTGAAAGTTATCGCCCCCATCCTCACGATAAGGAAAGAGCTAAATGCACCACAAATCAACAATTCTATTCCAATCCCTTAGAAAATTGAAGTCCCCAGGCAAACTGTGGTCCCCAGAACTAGAGACCCAGACAGGCAAACTCAGAGAAGCACAGCTTCCTCTGTGCGCAGACGCAGAAGCCTGCAGCTGAAGCCAATATGAAATCCACATCTGGAGCCAATATCGGCGGAGCAGTCAAAACTGTAATTGAGGAATTGCTGGGGGCTCACTGTGGACTCGCCTGAGAGTTAAAAACTCCAAGGGTGCCCAGACTTAGAGGGGCCCCCAGTCTTTCATGAGCTTTGCCTCCAGGAACCCCACCAAGTTCTCACTGTGAAGATCAGAGAAAAACCCCCTCATACTTCCCGCAGGGGAAGGGAAAAGTAACGACTTTGAAATATGCCTGGGGATTTCTATTGCTCCTAACAAGGATTGCCTTCAGGGTAAGCTATTTTACAAGTCTCATAGACTAGGGTTTTACCAAAGCCCCACTGACCTCAGGGAAGGAAAATAACCAACTCCAGGCCCCTCGGCTTTTCCTGTCTCATCTACGGGGAGTCGGGAACTGAGACACGCATGTGAAGGTCACAGCCCGGGAATACAGCTCCCTAAGAAACAGAG